ATTCAAGGACTTCCCTTAGAGACAAGAGTTATGCAATTTAGGAGTCTTTTAGATAGACCCACTGAAGGGGTACTCCAATGTCTCACCGTTCAGCATGGAAGAAGCCAGAGTGGTCAGCATCCCTATTCCTTATTGGCAATTTGGGTAACCCTTTCAGAGGATGGTGTGATGAGAATAGGAGTAGGAATTGGCTAGGCAGTTAGGGTAAAAAGGTCCCAAAGAAATGCAACCAGTTTCTTGGCTAAAAGTCAAAATGTCCTTGGTTCTGTTAGCAACATACTCTGTTTCAAAGGCCAAAAATGTCAAAAGTATTTGGGAGCTTGTGGATTGAACAAAACACCTTATATACATGTATGAAATTCTCAATAAAGGTTTTTTAAAAAAAAAAAAAAAAATTTACAGAGGAAAATACATTGTTTTCCAAACAACCAATTAACAAAACTTTCAAGATCATAATTAAAAATGATGTTGTAAGCCAGATGTGGTGGTACATGCCTGTAATCTCAGTACTTGCGAGGTTGAGGCACTGAATCACAAGTTTAAGGCTAGCTTGGGCTACAAAGAGAGAACATGCCTCAAGAAACAAAACAAAGAATGAACCTGTATGCCACAGGAGTGACAGCTTAAATCAAGGGAAACTGTGGAACAAAATATACTACATTAATAATGACCAAAATGCTAAAATCTTACCTTATTCCAGAGAGACTATCAAAGGCATGAAGCTCTAACACATTTGAGAGATCAACCCTAAAAGGAAGAAAATTCACATGAAGAAAAAAATTCACATGAATAGTTGAAAATTTTGTGAAACACATCTAGTAAATCAAGGTGTGGTAGCATAGACCTATAATCTCAACACTCAGTAGGCAGAGGCAGAAGGATTATCCTCAGCTACACACTGAGTTCAAGGCCAGCCAGGACTACATGAGATCACATCTCAGAAAAAGCTGTCTGAGACTTTTATCAAAGCATGCAAGCATAGAGGCTGGAGAGATGGCTCAGCAGTTAAAAGCATTGTCTGCTCTTGTAGAGGATCCAGGTTCAGTCCCAGCACCCACACAGCACTAACAACCATCCTTAACTCCAGTTCCAAGAGGTGTAACACCCTCTTCTGGCCTCCGTAGGCACCAGGCACATACATGGTACACTCACATGCTTAAAAATAAAATCTTGTTTACAAGCTGTATTTTTAAGATTCAAAAGACCACCTAAATAACAAACTTTTCTAAGCAGACTACCGAAAACAGGAAACAAAAGAAACCAGAGTTGGATAATAATTCAAGAATATTCCAAATACTTAGGAATTTTTGTAACTCTTTTACTCCTCCTTCCATGATAAAACAGCAATATAAAAATACTAGGAGTTGAGGGCTGGGAGTCTAGCACCTTCGGAGAGCATATGTAAGTGTAGCACATTATCAAGTAAGTGGCAAGCCCAATCCCACACACCAAAAAATAAGTCAATAGCAAAACCGAAAAGAGTCAAACCAGTGTAAAAATTTTGTCTCTCTAGCACCCCACATGCTGATTTCATTCATTCAGAATGAGGCACAAGTAGAACGAAACTTCCCAGGTCACAGTGCTGTCAGAACTGATGTTTTCCTCTGTGAATTATTTACTGATAACTGAGCCTTATTAGGAATATAGAAACTCAAATCAATGAGAATCATATATTATCACAATCAATATCTGGTTTGGATTAAACTCATAAAGGTAAATTTATAAAAATGGATGCCTGATTTTCAGTTTTTACAGGACAGTGACTTCTCCACAATTAAACTAAGATGAAGGGAGCATTTAAAAGAAAGTGGCAGAAGAACAATTGCATTTTAGAACCAAATTCCAGCGGGTGTCACACATGTATTAAATTTTTTTCACAAGGGGAAATTAAAGTTGATTTGTCACATTCAAGATTTTTTTGTGAAATGTACAAACATGAGATAAAATATCTCCTTTAGCTCAGGACTGGCCAGCTGTGCTCGCTTTGTTCACCCACACACTCAGGACTAGGCTCCACTAGATTATGAAAGCTTATCTTGGCACGGTCAGACAAATTCCCATCTTATTAAAAGACAAATACTCCAAAGTTCCATGTTAGCAGACTTTATCAGCACTTCAAATTCTGGACATGCTAGATATGTTGAACTAGGAAAATGACCTGGCAAGGAAGTAAGTGTTCTGTGAAGAAATTTTTGAGTATCAATTTACAATAAGAGATCAAAGTCGTAAAGTAAACATATTTTCTTTTCCACCTTCACAGTTTAACAAATATTTATCATGACAGGTCAAAAATGAACGAGCCCACCCCAAGTTGCTCATTCATCTAAACGCAAACTGATTAAAACCAAAGCAGTTGCCCTTTATAAACCTACTTCCATCCCCACTCCATTTAAGCTTTGCTCTTTCCTGTAGTCCCTGTATTCCAGGGACTAGACCCACAGTGGGTCCACCTTCCAAGAGTTTTACTGCTTCAAAGTCCTTTACTAATTCCTTGCTGCCTACAGAAGAAAAATCCAAACTATGTACCATGGACTCAAGATCCTTTGTGGTAGGCGTTATCCACCTTTTCTCTGCAGTGCTGCCAGATGCTCTAGTCATTCTAAATATTTCCAGGTCTCTCCCTGCAATATAAAATCTTCTGACCGTCTAGAAAATCACCCCCACTCCTGGCCATCTAGCTCATTAAGACTCCAATCAATGATGACTTTCCTAGTCAAATTCTCCTGAGTCTTCATCAGGGAGAATTAAATGGTCATTCCTCTGTCTTCCTATTCTTCTAAGTATTAATATTTCTGTAGTGACACATTAGTAACATCTAAGGTATTGCTTTTTGCTTGCTCACTATTGTTTTCCCCAAATACAGATTTTCTCTAAAGAACCTTTTGTCTTATCCATTACTTAAACTCTTAACTCACCCTCAAATGCCTTGGAGCTAGTAGAATGGTTAGTATATGTTGAATTGGTTAATTATCAACCAACTAGGCTAGGTTTTGAGTTTCCTTAGTTCAGTCCATTTAAATCTCTAAAATTAAGAAAAGTTCACAAAAGGTAAGAATGGTATGTCTTCTAACCTTCCCCTACTTCAGAAGTCTGTGCCACCCACCTTAGAACTTCTATTTGCTCCCCAATGAACTTAACTCTCGCCAGCAGACAGTCCTGCACATTACACACTGCACACTACTCTTACTCCCACTGCCCACAGCCAGGGTGAGCCTTTTGCTATGCGCATTTACAGCACTTTCACTTTTGCCAGTTTTTATCAACCATAAAATACAAAAGAAACTAAAACATAAAAAACAACTCTTAGCACCAAGGCGGCCAGGAAGACCTGGCCAGCCAAGGATATCAGACCATGCACATCTCATCTGCGCCTCCCTACCCTCAAGCCTCTGAATAAAATGGTTTGACGTAAAAAAATAACAATAATAAATAACAGCTTTAGGCCATGCGTGGAGATGTATGCCTTTAATCCTAGCACTTGGGAGACAGAGGCAGGTTGATCTCTGTGAGTTTGAGGCCAGCCTGGTCTACATAGTGACTTCCAGGTCAGCTGGGATTACAGGGAGACTGTCTCCAAAAAAAAAAAAAAAAAAACCCTTCAAGACCAAATAGCCACATTATTAATGTCCAGCACAGCATATGTCATTGGTGCAGGCAGTAGTGGCACTTTTATCCTGGGGCAATCAACAGTTACCTCATTTGACTAAATGCCCACTCAATGGGAGTAATGTAACATAACCTAATACATATGGTCGCTGTGGCCACAGATCTTGGAGAAAACCCCCAAGACTGTCACATCACTAGACTAATGTGATTTCTTACTATGTGCAAAATATGTATCATTATATTTACAGACAAATATCCCAGTCACCACTCATCAAAGAAGCTCATTTTACACCAGTCAGAGACTCTTATGAAGTACCACAACTGATCACACATGGACATTGTCTATGAATTGCCCCAGGCCTACGTGACACATCTACAATGCAACCTCTACACCTAAGGCTTATGGAATGTAGAACAAGGGTAAAGAAGAGGACACTAATGAATTTTCAGTTCTCAATAATGAAGCTCCCTCATGCAGCAGAGGGCCAGGAACACAAAAGGTCACAAATGGCCAAAGCATAGAAATCAAGAGTCTGCTGAATGATGGTCATTGGACAGGACCCCTTTATTAAACTTCACCCACACAAGGCTCAGGGACCATCTCAGAAGAGGGGGCAGAAAGATTGTAAGAGGCAGGGAGGAGGTGCATGACCATATGGAAACAGAGTCCTGCAAGCTCCTGGGAACCTAATGGTGTCAGCATACACAAGTCTCATGCAAACTCAGGCAGACAATAACCTAGCATAGAACTGGGAAAATGAAGAGCAGACCTCAGTCTTATCTGAAGGAATGTTGGCAACTGATTGCTGCTAGATGAGGAAGAGCTGATCTTCCTAAAACAAGGGACTCTAGGGGCTGGAGAGATGGCTCAGCGGTTAAGAGCACTGATTGCTCTTGCAGAGGACCCGGGTTCGATTCCCAGCACCCATATGGCAGCTACAAACCATCCTTAACTCCAGTTTCAGGGGAATCCGATGCCCACTTCTGACCTCCATGGCACTGCAAGACATGGGTGCACTCACATACATGCAGGCAACACATTCATACACATAAAATTAAAAATAAGTTTTTTAAAAAAACGAAAAACAAGGGACTCTAGAGAGGCTGACTAGACTCACTGGATGGACTTGCACTGGGCAATGGCTGGGGACACTGACAACCCAGTGGGCCTTAACAGGGATGACAGAGTATATGGACTCCAGTGGGGATGGGGGGCTATGGGAAGGTGCCAGTGGGGAACGGAGGTATAAAGATGACTAAGATTGTTCAAGATGCTCTGTATGAAATACACAAAAAAATTCAATAAAAAAATACATATTAAAAAAAAGACCAAAAATAAATAAATAATGGCTTCAATTATTTTGTTAAGAATTAAATCACAGGACTTGAGAGATGGCTGTATGATTAAGAACACATGTTGTTCTTGCAGAGGACCTGGCGTTCAATTCCCAGCACTGACATGGGCCTAAAAACTGTAAGTCCAGTTCCAAGGTATCTAATGCCCTCTTCTGTCCTCTGTAGATATTGTGTACATTGGTACACATACAGAATGCAAGCAAAACACTCACACACATAAAATAAAATTTCTAGTTTCTAAACTGGGAAGCCCAAGTTGCTATGTCTTAAGGAATTTGAGGAAATATTCATGATTCATGACCCCAAAATAAAAATTATGCAGATGTCTGATCTTCACTGAAATGGTCTCGAACTCAACTTCAGTTTTTCCAGCAAGGAAGTATTATTTCAAAGTCTCAGGTACACGGGCAAACAACAGATGCTGTTGAAGCAGAAGAAAAGAATTTTTTTCCTTTGTTCACTTGTCCTTTAAGTAACAAGCACTGCATATTTACTATTCTTGTAAGAGCAAATGTTAGGAACACTAGCAACGACAAACAAAGTTACTGCATAATGAGCTAATCAAGAGGAATCTTCATTTAGGACATGCATAATTTCAAAGTGAAAATAAAGAGAACTAATATAAGATGATTATAAATATGAACTGAACACATGCTATCACCAACAGAACCACAGATATGATCTTTTACATTTTATTTATTTTTATTTTATGTGTATGAGTGTTTTGCCTACATGTATGTAGTGTACCACATGCATGCAATGCCTGTAATGCTTGAAGAGGGCATCAGATCCCTTGGAACTAGAATTATGAAAAGTTACTAGCTGCCACACGAGTGTTGGGAATTGAACCTGGATCCTCTGTAAGAGCAGTCAGTGCTCTTAACCACTCAGCCATCTCTCCAGCCCCTGGATAAAATTCTTAAAAGCTAATTTAAGCATTATGGAGTTGTCTGCATCTACAAAGAAAAGACCAAGGAGAAAATGAACATAGGATGCAATAGGAAGACGACATACTGAGGAATAGCTCAGAGTATGAGTTAATCAGATTTCTACAGTGGAATTCAAAAAGCTGAGGGCACATTTGCTTGCACAGTGCCTATGGCAGAACCACAGTAGAGGCATCCGTGGTTCCTGGGAATGCATACCAAATTCACTTTCCAGCTGCTCAGAAGCAGCTGCTGCTGTTCCTGCCTCACACTTCTGGTAGTCTGTCAGCACCTCTAATCTCGCTCTCACAGACAAGGCTTCTGCTGCACTGCAAGGAAAGAATCTCTCAGCTAGGGGCTGGATGGCATTAGGCTGCCAGCTGGGAGCCTCAGAGCTGCTGGCTGCATGTTGCAGGGTCTATCTGCTACTAAGTCTTTCTTGTTACAAAATAAGCTTAATAAAAAACCCTTGCACAGAAATTTTCTGAAATCATGATATCATTCAATGGAAAACAGTTCACAGATATTTTAAGAGTATGACTATTTCATAAAGTTATGTATATCTTTATGAACACAACTGTAAATGAGAAAAATCTAAAGAAAATGTAAATAAAAATTTCAATAAAGGGATAGATACATCAGGAACTTGAACATACAAAGTCCATGGAATTTTATTGCATACTTTTTTGCAACTGTAAAACATTAAGATTAAAGAGTATTAGAAAACCATTTTAAATGCCTTAAATTGAGATTATTCAATACACTTTTCCAGATTTCTGTACCACAGCTCTGCAGTCTTTAGCAAAGGTCCTAACTAAACATGCCAATTAATTTACACATTCAAATCAATATTTTAATTCCTATTTTAATGCATCTATATATTTATTGTATTATAACCAAATTATTAATTTTGAATGTTTAGTTTTAAACTAAGGGCTAAGGTTATTTCCTATTGCTATTAGTAATAGAGCTCTCTCTTTCTGCCTCTATTCCTATCTCTATCTCTCTCCTTGCCCAAGCTGTCCTTGAACTACCTTCATAGCCAAGGATGACTTAGAACTTCCAAGTCTTCTACTGCCACCTCCCAAGTGCTAGGATTACAGGCATGAGCCACCAGGCAGTTTATGCAGTACTGGGGTCAAACCCAGAGTCTTGAGCATATGAGGTAAGCACTCAACCAACCGAGTTATAGCTCCAGCCCTAGTAGTAACTTTTTAAAAGTACCTTGATCTTTGCGTTTCTAAAATTTTTCCCAGTCCATTTATTGATCTGAAATAAGTGAAAAAGAAAAGGTTAAAAAAGTAAATGATAATTTTTTAAAAGTACATAACAATCATAAAACAGAAAATAGGCAAACACGACAACTGGAAGTAATAAAAAATTAAAAATGGGAAAACAAAACTTGCATTTTTCTATGGTTTAGTAATTCTTTCTCTTCAAACCACAAATCTGGTGTACTATACTCATGTATTTAAGAAAACTTGATATGCAAAAATCTATCCAAAAACTGATTAGGCATGACTGTGATTTTTAAAAAGAGCCTTTACTTTAGAAAAAAGGTGAGGAAATGGCACAGTGGAGAGTGCTTGCCTAGCATGTACAAGGCTTTGTACATGTGCAAGGCTTGACCCCAGCATTGCCAAAAAGAAAAGAAAAAAAGATGATTCATAAATAGCCCGCCATTCTAACGTTCTTAAAATGTGCACTCCAAACTTTTGAGTGACAGCAATTTTAACACAGCACACTGCACAAATGGTGACACAGAACACTGAAATAAGGACAATGGTTCCTTTTGCATGGCACACACATACACACAAAAACTTAATTCCTAACACTGAGCACTTCATCTATTTATCTCTGTAACATCAGCTCTTTTGCTTTCACTGCTACTGCTATGTGCCCAGGATATGCGCTACTTGCTCAGCCTGTTCTCATGGGTAAGCTTTCCCATGTACAGTGATTCTCAAGGAAGTCTCACTCTTTGCACTACTTAACATGATTCTTAATCTCCTCTTCTGAATACACTCTTAAGAAAAAAAATCTAAATTGTAGTAAAGCTAACAAAACACTTACTAAGTGGCAGCCATGATGCAAAGTTCACTAAGAACATCTCCTATGTCTCATGTAATACTCAAAGCAAACTTGTAAGATAGGTATTACTCATTTTGCAGATGAGGTTTGAGAAGCTTAAATAAACCCCCTAAGAACAGTAAGAAACAGACCAAGGATTACAACTTGAGCAGATTCCAAGGTCCATATTCCTAAACACTATGCAACATTACCTGCCCTCTACATGAAACATTACTTTAAGGATTTTACTATTAAAATAAGACCAAATATACAGAAACAGTGTGAGTTTCTTTCTCTTACAATCATAATCACTGCAAACAACCTCTTAATGAATGATATATTTTTATTCAGTTTCATAACATATATGAAGCAGTAGTACTACAGTCAAAACATGAGGTCAGCAGGAGTTATATGTATTAAATATGCTAATGTCATTCATGCAGAAAATGGCCAATAATACAAGTCATTGAATGTACCTCTGTATGTGGCATTTTCTGGTTTAGGCCTTATAAAATGATTCAGAAGATCCTGGACTCTAACCTCATTTGTAGAGTCCATCTTTGGTTTCAAAAAGAATGGAAGTCTCTAGAAGAGTCAGCAAAATGACTGCTTGATCACTGACTAATAATGTAACTTGAGCATCATTCACCTTATACTATACTGACCAGCCTTCCCAAGGACAATGAAGACTTAAAGGAGGACAAGGCAGAGTTGACAGAGTCAAAGTAAGTTAACACCATTTCAGCAAGGAAGACTGTTCAGTAAGAAATGGAAAAGGAAGAAAATGGGCTCCATAGGTGAAGCTCCTGGCAGGGAATGGATTCAGAAATTGGCAAAGTAAGAAAACATTATGAGCAAAGTTGGAACATGCAAGACACATTCCTAAGAAGGTAAATTAATGGTTTTAGGGAGCTTGATGTTAGGAAAGGCTCAAAGAGCACACTTTGAAATGGACTCCAGATTACCAGCCTATGAATTCTGAAGTATGCTCTGCAAGTGAGCCATGGGGAATAATTTTATATATTTCTATTTACTTAAGAGTCAACCAACAGCATATGTGATTCCTTAATGGTTCTTGAAGCAAGCCAACCTTGAACTTTATTCTCTACAGGACAAGTCATGGTAAAAATATTTTATATACTGAATAGATTTGAAGGTACTTAACACACAACATTTTGTAACTAATGGTTGTACATTTTTTCAAGAAATAATTTAGGTTTTTAGTTGACATATAAAAACATAAAAATTGTTCATATTGATGGGGTACCATGTGATATTTAAATATACAGACTGCGTAACACTTAAACATACCTATCTCCTTAAACATTTATCATCTCTTTATGGTGGAAACATTGAAAATTCTTTCTTCTGGCTTTCTGAAATATACAATCACAAGTACTATATATTGTACCTAATAGTTGTTCTTAAGTTGTTTAACTCCTCTTCTGAAACCAAGTCTGTTTTATTGATGAGAATGATATCTGCCAAAGCAACTTGCCTAAAACAGTAAACAAACATCAGATGTCAAAAGAAGAACGCTAAGAAATCAAAAATAAATCCAGAAACAACTTAGTTAAATCAATGTATTAGCTAAGAGCTAGCTTAGGTTCTGTAGTTGAGATTCAGTTTCCTCCTGATCTACTTATTCCTCAGACAGTATAGAGGAAATGCGTGCATCAATATAGGAAAGCTAGATTTCATGACACAGTCTTCACCTAAAAAGTATTCATTGCTGACCCTATAAAGATAAGTCTTAAGAGTTGACTATTAGAAAGATGATTTTCAATACAGGATTTCTTTGTAAAGAATAAAATTCAGATACCCACTATCCCAGGAATAATGATAGTCTATTTGATAAAAAATATAATATTTCCATATTTTCAAAAGAAATACAGAGAAATTCACTTAGTATTAGTTTTATTTTGTTTTTAAAAACTACACCTCAATATGTCGGAATCTTGTATAAATATCTTCTTCACTATAAATATATATTATCACTGTAAAACAGATACATAGAAATTCCAGTTAAAGAATCCAGCTGGCAAAAGTGTTACATAACAAAACAAATTATTATAACTCAAAGTTAAATTTTCCTCAATTCTTCAGGAAATTCTCATCACTGGACTACTTGTTTCTAATCCTGGTCTTATGATATAAATCAGAGAACACAGAGAAATTCTTAAAAGCTGACTTTAATTCACCAAAAATGCAAATTTCAACAGAAAAGTTGTAATCCAACTGTTTTTAAAGTAAATTTTATGTGCATAAAAACACTCTCTTTACAGTTAGTCTTTAAATTTGGAGGTATTCAATGTTTAATCTTAAGATTTTTACAATAGTCTGATATTTTCAATTTCATGTATATATTTTTTCTATAATAAAAATTTTCAAGAGAAACAAGTTTCAATAATTTGAAACTTCATTCTAATTTGAATCACAATTATACAGTAAAAATAATGTTTAGGAAGGACTACAAAACAACTCAATTATCACACTCTACGATGAGGATTTAATTGCTTCTTGTAGTCTTTATTCCTATGCTGGGATCATCTGTACCAAATCCCAGGGGCCTCACCCTTAAACCCAGCAGCATACTTAATGATTGTCATCTATTCTAAACCTTTATTCCATTAGCAAGAATATGCTTAGAATAGGGAAACTAATTTAGTTATAAGTCTAAAGACAAAACAACTAGGAACATAAAGATACTTTAATAAAAACTGTTTTAAGTGCTAAGTTACAAGCATTTCAGCATTTGTTCCTCTATACTGAATGACAATGGGGCAGTTGTTTTTAACATTTTTTAATTGAGCTTTTTAAATTTCATATATTTCCCACTCAAACCCAGATGCCCTACCCATCCATGCTTACCCCATCCCCCCACCAAACCCCAGGTTTCCTAGCCCTAGATTCACTCATCTCCACTGATTTTTCTCCCATCCGGCGCCTCTCCCTCCTCCCCCCACTCCCTAGTCACAGCACCCCCATTATCCCCACCCTCCTCCCAATACCTCCTGACTCCCGCCATCTTTCCTCTCCTGACTTCCCTCCCTCCCTCACACCATGGTCCCTTGCATGTCCCTCCCTCCTCTCCTCCCTGCCGATTACTCCTACTTTTTCCCCCTCCCTCAGGTAACATCTGTTCCCTACTATCCCCTTCAGGTTGTTTCTTTTCCTTTACCTCCATGTATCCTTTCCCTTTTCCTAGCTCCTGGTGTTACATCAGAATTTATATACTCACATATAAGGGACTGGTACTACAATCCAAATGAGGGAGAACAGAGTATCGTTTGCTTTTCTGCATTTGTGTTACTTCACTTAGAATAACACTGTCTAGCTCCATCCATATACCTGCAAATTTCATAATTTCATCTTTTCTTACTGCTGAGTAGAACTCCATTGAGTAGATGTCCCACATTTTCATTAACCATTTGTCAGTTCAGGGACATTTACGTTGTTTCCATATCTTAGTTATTATAAAGAGCAGCAACATACATGGATGTACAAGTATCTCTACAGTACAATGAGTCCTTTGGGTATATGCCAAAGAGTGGTATCAGTGGATCATATGGCGAGTTCATTTTAAGTTTTTTGAGTGTTCTCCACACTGCTTTCCAGTCTGCATTTCTCTAATTACTAAGGATGTTGAGCACTTTTTAAGGTCCCTCTTAGCCATTTTTATTTCTTTGAGAACTTTCTGTTTAGGTCTATCCCCCATATTTTTATTGGGTCATTTATTTTCCTCTTTCTTTTTTTTTTTTTTATGAATTCTTTATATATTCTGGATATTAGTCCTCCGTTGGATATGTAGCTGGTGAAGATTTTCTCCCACTCCAGTGGGTTTCCTCTTCCCTTCTTCGGTTGTTTCTTTCGCTGTACAGAAACTTTGTAATTTAATGAGGTCCAATTTACTGATTGTTGACCTTAGCACTTGAGCAGCTGGTGTCTGATTTAGAAAGTCCTTTCCTATATCTTGGAGGGTGCTGCCTGTTTTCTTCTAGCAGTTTCTGAGTTTCAGGTTTTATATTGAGGTCTTTGATTCATTTGGAGCTGATTTTTGTGCAGGGTGAAAGATAAAGGTCAAGTTTCATTTTTCTGCAGGTGAAAAGTTTCATTTTTCTGTAGGTGGAGATCCAATTTTGCCAGCACCATTTGTTGAAGATGCTATCTTTCCTCCATTGTGTGTTCTCCGCACCTTTGTCAAATATCAGGTGGCTGAAATTATATGAACTCATGTTTGGGTCTTCTAGTGTGTTCCATTGATCTACATGTCTATTTTTGTGCCAGTGCCATGCTGTTTTTATGACTCTGTTTATAGCTCTATCCCCCCAGCATTGTTCTTTTTGCCCAAGATGTTTTGGCTATCTGGAGTCTTTTGTGATTCCATATGAACTTTAGAATGCTTTTGTCAAACTCTGTGAAGAATGTTGTGGGTATTTTGATTGGGACTGTACTGAATCTATAAATTGCTTTTGGTAAGATGGTCATTTTCACAATATTGATTCTACCAATCCATGAGCATGGTAGGTCTTTCCATCTCCTAGTGTCTTTGATCCAGCCTCTAATGAGGCAGTTTTTAAGGGAACAAATTTACTATTTCTATCTTCAATTTCAAAGAAATTATATGAAAATAAAATATTTTTAAATGTTAAGATTTCCTCAGGTCCCGGGCGTGGTGATGCACGCCTTTAATCCCAGTGCTTGGGAGGCAGAGGCAGGCAGATCTTTGTGAGTTCGAGGTCAGCCTGCTCTACATAGTGAGTTCCAGGACAGCTGGGGCTACAGGGAGACCCTGTCTCAAAGAGACAAAAAAATATTTCCTCAGGTCATCAAATGAAAGAAGTCTTATCCCAAGCATTTATTTTAGCTCACAATATATATGGGGTTAAATGCTATTATTAGACCATGATAAAAAGATAGCAATAATTCATGGGGAAAAAAGGAAATAAATTTGCCTTAACTAAGTTTATATTTTTAGTCTGTCTTATGATTTCACATCAATGACCTTCTTCTCCTAACTGGTCAACAAGCAACGTAAGCTTTAAATATGACTTACCTAGTAGCTTCATTGATAAAGCCATCAGGTTTGTCTTCTGTTAAATGCTGTACAAAACAAATTTTTTTAAAGTTACTGCACTATAATACACTTTGCATTTGAACTGAATTTTATAAATTATTGTTTTACACATTAACTCATTTAGGTTTTTTAACAATTATGAGAAATAACTATTCTTGGTTTATAAAAGAACCCAAATCAAATGCCCATATCATCACAGAATAATGTATATTTGCATACTATCACCAAATTTGTTTTTTTGTTTTTTTGTTTTGAGCAGGGTCTCACCCTGTAACCCTGGCTGGCCAGTTATGCAGACCAAGCTGTCCTTGAACTCACAGAGATCCATCTGCCTCTGTTTCCTGAGTGCTGGGATTAAAGGAGTACATGACCACACCAGGCTCAGATTATTTATTGTAACTAAAAACATGCTTAATAGAAGTAAATTGAACACTACTTAAAAACTTTGGAGTGTCTTTTATGTTATGTAAAAGCAGTCTTATATACAATGCTACTTAGTGCTAATAATTACATAAGAGAGTATATAGAAGGATCATCTAAAAATAACATTATATTTTGTCAAATGTAGTTTCACAATTCATTGGGAGGTGATCATTAAGGCATTTGCCTAGCTTAGAACTTAAGGACAAGGTGATGATAGTTATATTAAATAAACTTGGTTAAGACTCTAGAGGGAAACTCTTTTTTCCCTTCTAAAGATTTTCCAAATACTGTTTAGGGTGAAACAGAATTAATGAGAACTAAAACCACAGCAGTAACATACTCGTCTTCATTTTGGATACTATCCTATACATTCCAAGTGCAGGCCCAATCTCCAATTATGGAATTCAGGGAACATGGAGTATATTGTATCACAAATATTCCATGCCAAAAGACCAAGTTTAAACCTACTTTTTCATAATTATTCTTTGCTTCTGACTGTAAAAAATCCTATTATGATATACTCTGCCTCTGGAGAGTAAAGCTATCAACAGACCCTGGAACAAAGCCAGCTCACAGGCCCAACAAACAGTCTTTGGATGAACTAGAGTTAATACTCCTATTTGTTGACATAGATACATAAATGTAGTTATTTGAAAAATGATATATAATATGTAGCAACAAATTCCTTTCCAGTGAGCAGTAAATATACTTAAACAATACAATGTTATCAAGGCATTTGCCTCTTGATGATCCTGTAATATAAAACATTCTTTTAAAACGGAAGTATTTTTCAAGACACTGCATCAGAAGCTTCATTTGTACACATATCAATTGGGTTATCTGGTTGAGAGTGTATAACATAAAAAAGACACTATAAAAGAATTAGATATTTGTTTTTAAAAACAAATGGCATTTTAAAAACAAAATGGCATTTTCACAAAGTACCTTACAATGTTTTGAATGATTTACTTCTCCAAAAGATTAGAAATTTTCACTCACAGTTAAATGAGAAATAGACTAATATTTGACTACCTCCAGACAGACAAGAAAGATTAAATATAACTTAAAATCTCCTGAAATAAAAGTCTACCTATATATATAACTTGATTACAAATATATGAATTAAAGAAAAAAAAAAGACAAATGTCCTGCCCTGTGCACATATGAAAGCTATCTAAACATAAAAAATGTGTACTAGGGGCTAGAGAGATGGCTCAGCAGTTAAGAACACCGGTTGTTCTTGCATAAGACCCAGGTTCGAATCCCAGCATCCACATGGCAGCTAACAACTGTCCATAACTCCAGTCCCAGGGAATCCGACAGCCTCTTCTGACCTCCGCAGGCATTGCACAACATGGGTGCACTTACCTACATGCAGGCAATACATGCATATACACAAAATAAAAATAATAAAAAAAAATTTTTAATGTTTACTAACACTAAATTTTCTGGATATCAGCCCTACATTTCCCTCATGAAATTCCTACCTTCCCAAGTCAAGCTTAGCAAAAAGAATTAATCCTGTGCTTGCTATTCAAAAGAACATTCGCTGATATTTGGTAACAAGTCAGATGACTTCCATTTTTTTTAAAAAAAGATTATTTATTATTTTTATTTTCTGTGTGTTTTGCCTGAATATATGTATTGCACTGCATGCGAAGAGGCCATCAGATCCCCTACAACTGGAGTTACAGTTATTTTTTTCCTTTTTTTTTGTCTTTTTGAGACAGGGTCTCCCTATAGCCCCAGCTGGCCTTGAACTCACAGAGCTCCACCTGCCTCTGCAGGGATTAAAGGCATGTACCACCACACCTGGCCCTGAAGTTATAGTTATAAGCAGCTTATGTAAGGGAACTGAACCTGGATCTTTTGTAAGAACTACAGTAAGTGCTCTTAACTGCTGGGCCATCTCTCCAGCCCTGGAGAACTCCCTTTTTGTTTTGGTTTTGTTTTTTACTATTTTATTTACTATTTTTATTTTTTGTGTACGAGTGTATTGCCTGCATGCATGTGAGTGCACCTGTGTCCTGCAATGCTGCAGAGGTCAGAAGAGGGCTTTAGATTCCCCTGGAACTGGAACTAAGGACAGTTCATAGCTGCCATGTGGGTGCTGGGAATCGAACCTGGGTCCTCTGCAAGAACACTCAGTGCTCTTAACCACTGAGCAATCTCTCTAGCCCCTGGAGAACTCCATTTATAAATAAAAGCAAAAATTCAAATTTATCTGTATAGGCACATGAAAAAAAGATTTTTTTAATTTTTTGAGAGGAAAAAAAAAAAAAACCCAAAAAACAAAATGAGAAATCCACATCTCCAAAAGATTCTTCATCTTTGCTTAGAGACTGTAGCTTTTGCATATGTCAAAAAGGGAGTAATAATTTTGGTATTAACAAACCCAACAATCCAACATATTCAAAAGGTAAAAGTTCAAATTCCCATGTGGCCTACCACAACAAACAAAAAAAGAGAGATGAGATATTGGCCAGAGCACACAAGTTTCAGTTTCTAAGGAGGAATAAGTTCTGAAAAGCTATTATAGCATGGTGATTATAATTAAAAGACTACTGGATGGAATATTTGAAACTTGTTGACTAAGCTTAGATCTCACCCCACATACTAGCAAAAAGTAGTAACTATGTGAGTGGATGGATAACGCTTATGCTTGTTACACAATGTTTTCACAACATATGTACAGATCAACATACAAAATTCTATACCTTAATTATACACAATTTTTACTTGTGAGTTATATCACAATAAAGCTGGGGGGACAAAAAATTCTTTGAAATAAATTACTATTATAGACACAACTTCAAGAAAGGCTACAAGGGGTTCTTTTTGCAGAAATGAAGAAAAAAATCTTGATCAAACAAAGAAAATAAATCAAAACTATCTTAAAATTCATTACCTAAGAAAGAACTGTGTGACCAAACAGAAATAAATCTAGTGACAAAGATGTCAGCTAAGAGACAAAGAAGAAGAAACAGCAATTCCTTTCAAGTGGATTGGTTATAGATCTAACACGGTATCTGCTTTAAAAAAAAATTACCACATAATGTCAGTCTATTTATTTTTCTGGCTTTTCCAAGCCAAACTGTTTTCTGACTGAATTGTTTCAACAGCTTGTGCAATACAACAGAAGAACCAAAAAGGAACCTCTTACTTGACCTTTTATGTGTAAACTTCATTCACTGATTCTATTGCATTAAATGCTGTCACATTTGTAGAAGTGAAAAGAACAATGTCAGTAGTCTAGATGTCAAGCCTTGAGAATAGAGAGCTGTCATTTCAAGTTGTCCAATTCTTTGCCCATGATTAAAAAATGAATATTTCAGATCAATGGGTGACAATCCCATTAGAGTGATAGCCTATGATATCAATTACCACTTCAGTTTCAATTTGGCTGGCTGGCCACAGGGTACCATTTCTCAGCTTTACTTGTGATGGGCTGGTTCTGTGAAGCATGACACCCTTAAATTGCTGCCCATTATCCAACTGTCATTACTTGTACTGCCTCAGAATTCTCTGAATCACAAGCAGCTACTGAGGTCAAGCTTTGCAACCAGAGGTATTGGACAAGTTGGCAAATTCTTTATATAAAGGCAAAGTTATTTATCTGATATCTGACTTTGAAAATCTAAAGTTTCCATTATCCTGACAGTATGTCAGTTTTGTGTAGGTATATTGATTTAATAATTTAAGAGGTTTTATCAAGGTGGCAGGGGGTTAAACGTATACTGTGTTTGCATTATTCAGAATGTTGCTTTATTTTTGGTCTCTATCATGCCAATAAAATAGTCTACTTAACTCCTCTCTGTATTTCACTATGCATAAAAAATTATTTCTATAAGCATAAAACACATAGCATTTAGCTTTGGATATGGCATGTTAAGTCCCTGAAAAAAAGCAAACGAAATGTCCTAGCTGCTGTCTATCTCTTAAGTATCCCAAGTCTGCTAATATGCCAAATGAGTCGAGCAGATACATTAAACAGGCCTATAATAAATGTTCAAAATTAAGAACTTCCAGTTTCCTGATGGATTTTTGTTTTTTGCTATCTCCATTCACATTTTTGCTTGAAATATGCTTTCAAAACAGTCATTAAGATGACTTCTGAAAAGCCCACACCTACACGTGGGTATATACTGTCCTTTTCCTAAGTTAATCTGTCTCTCTTTCTGAATGCCTGTAATTAAACCTATGTTAAAATAATAAACTCCAACTTTGCTTTAAAGAGCAACCCATTAAGCGAAGTGTGGCAACCCACACCTATACCAGCTATTGGAAGGAGGATCATGAATTTGAGAGCAGCCTGGACTACATTTCAAATTCAAGGACTACACAGGCTAAACAATGAGACCTTCAAACAAACACGTGCGTGCACGTGCATGCACACACACACACACACACACACACACACAAACACACATAGCCATTAGAAATTTTCTAAATAAAGCTATAGCATTTAAAACCTTTCTTTTATTCCTAATCTATTCATAAATTTAGACTGTAAACTTTTAATAAGGAATTATATTTCAAATTTCTCAAATTAAGGAACTGAGGGAAGGGAGTAAAAGGCCCAGTAAAGGAGTTTTGGTAGCCATTTGGACAAACCTGATACATCTTCCTAGAATATAATTTCATTGAAGATTTGGAAGAAAAAACAATTTAAAACTTAAGTTTAAATACATCAGGGGTAAAATACAAAACTAACTTTTAAACACTGATTTTAAACTAAGAAGTTATTACTTTGATCCCTATCTATGCAGATCTGCAGGAGGGGTAGTGCTAGGGAAAACCAATTCATTCTCTGATTCCTTTAGCAATATTTGTTTATTTATTTATTTATTTAGGTCTTTTTGAGACAGGGTCTCCCTGTAGCCCCAGGTGGCCTGGAAGTCACTTTGTAGACCAGACTGGCCTTAAACACACAGAGATTTGCCTGCCTCTGCCTCCCAAGTGCTGGGATTAAAGGCGTGTGCCACCACCCCCAGCTGCAATATTTATTTTTTAAAGAATTTTCTTGTTTCACATAAAAGGTTGAGAAAAATTGTTTCATTTTATGCAATAACTTTTAAAGGATCTCAGCACATTTTATAATTGAGGCCACTAACAGTATTTAAGGACCTTGGTTTGCAGTTAGCAAAAGCATTCAGAGCAGGGGATAATGGCGCGTCTTTCCTCACCAACCCTATGTATAAAATTTTGGTATTCTCAAGATCAAATGAATCAGTATTTTATTTGTTTACTTCACTTTTTAAAAATTTAATAACCACATGATTAGAAGAATTTCATCACAGGTTTAACATATTCAATAACAATTTCCAGAGCAAAGATACATCTCTTTCAAAAGTAGCTATAAATTTCTAGGTTCACCGTTGAAGTAATACTGTTATACATTATTGAACTCAGTATAAACCCTGTAAGACATAAAATTGAATGAGATTTTAGCATTTAAAAAAGATCTCCATTTCATTTTAAAATATATTGCTTCCTACAGAAAGACTCATTTTTCATGCTACTAACACTTAGATGTTTGCACAAGGGTCTCTAATCTCTATGTATCTGATTATTACTAGTCAATCAGTTACACTCAGAGCCTTGGCACCTGAGTATGAATATAAAGTCATCAGGTAGATTTCAATGGTAATGTTTATCACCTCTACTAATTAACATTAAGTAAATTTTTATGCTTCCTGCTCAAATATAACTCATTTTTTAAATTTGTTGATGTTTTTTGTGTGTATATCATACACAACATCCCAAGCTTATTCATCTATATACCCACTTCCCAAATGGCATCCTCCCATAGCCTCCCCTCCCCCAATGGAACCCATATACTGTCATCCCCGTTACTGTCCACTGTGTTGTCAGTGCCCCCAGCTGTTCCCCCATGCTTGTCCATCTACTGAATCCAGTCAGCCTATCTAGAGATCCTTGTTTTAGGAAGATTGGCTGTTCCTCATCTAGGAATAATCACTTGTCAATATTCCTTTAGGTAAGATTGGGGCCTGCTGTTCATTTTCCCAGTTCTATGCTGGGTTACTCTCTGGGAGTCTCTTGGGCCACCCTGGCCAACAACTCAAAGGAAGGTATCTCCTGTCTGGCATTGTTTCTTGTTATGTATCTTTTAGCTATACATATGGACGCTTAAAAAATTATATTGACTCCTTTAATTTTTGGTTATACTTTCCTTTTGGGTGTTTAAGACCCTACAGTTGGTCCAGGTAAATCAATTATTTTTACTCTTTAAGTTAAGGTTGTTTGAGGATCTGTTCCTCAGGGGGTCACATGGGCTTGAGAGGAGCCCCTGGCTCCTTTTTTTTACCAGTTCCATCTACGTGAAGATAAGTCAAAGGTCCTGCTCAACCGTGGCTGGCTTCACTTGTAAGCATGGAGGAAATGTTCCCTCTGGGTTGACCCTCCTCTTTGTAGACTGGACACAGGTTGAAGTCCATTAAGTGGGGTCTCCATGGCCTCCTTGATCAAGAGAACAGGTGATTCACCACAGTTACAGGACATTTTGAGAGATGCTCATAGTCCCCTGGAACTTAGTTGACCTAGGAGGGCAAGGAGCAAAAACTGTCCTTTATGTCTCTCTGACCAAATTAGTATAGGCCTCAAAGTATGGCTGTTAAACATCCAAGAAGGTTAGTTCCACCAGTCTGGTACTTTATAGTCTATGTGTTATGCCTGTATGTAGGTAAGTGCACCCTTGTCCTGCAGTGTCCGTGGAGGGCAGAAGAGGCTGTCGGATCCCCTGGAACTGAAGCTAAGGACAGTTGTTAGCTGCCATGTGGGTGCTGGGATTCGAACCCAGGTCTTCTGCAAGAACAGTCAGTGTTCTTAACTGTTGAGCCATCTCTCCAGCCCCCAGTCTGGTACTTTTAATTACCATGTGCCATGTAGATAAAGCTTGGGCAAAGACCAAACATTCTCAGATAAACCTTGCCTAGACAGATATAATCTTTGATCTAGTTGTATGTATAGTTTGTCAGTAGGTTGTTGGCCTAATATGGTTCCCTCTGGTTTTTTAAAACTAGCTAAGCATTATTTATCTCTCACATTGTCTAACCCTTCCACCATGGTTTCCTCATTTAAGGTGCCCCTATTTTTCCCATTTCTCCCTTAATAATACCCTTCTCCTATGGTCCCACCTCTCTAGAGCTCCTTTCCCATTATTCCCTAGGTTTCTTGTATAACTTTCCATCCCCCCTCCCCTTAAAATAACCCCATTTTTATCCATATCTCCCGTATTAACACCTGTTTCCTACTGTTCTTCTCTTTTAGATTCTTTCTTTTCCTTTACCTCTCTGGTTCCTTTTCATTGTCCTGGTGTCTGGATACTCACTTACCAGGATTTGGTGCTAGGATTCACACATCAGGGAGAACATATGTCGTCTTTTTTTGTTTTTTTTTCTGAGTCTGTGTTACTTCACTTAGTATAACAGTTTCTAGTTCCATCCATTTACCTGCAAATTTCATGATTTCATCTTTCTTTACTGCTGAGTAAAACTGTATCGTATAAATGAAACACATTTTCATTATCCACTCATCAGTTGAGGGACACTTAGGTTGCTTCTGTCTCTTAGCTATTGTGAAAAGAGCAGCAACAAACATGGATGTACAAGTGTCTCTGCAATAGGATGAGTTCTTTGGGTATATGCCAAGGGGTGGTATAACTGGGTCAAATGGTAGGTTCATCTGTAGTTTTTAAAGAGTTCCCCACACTGCTTTCCATAGGGGTTGAAAAAGTTTGCAGTCCTACCAGCAGTGGATGAGGGTTCCCCTTTCCCCACATCCTCTCCAACATTTGATATCATTTGTTCTCTTGATGTTAGCCAGTCTGACTGGGGTAAGATGAAATCTTAAAGTGGTTTTAATTTGCATTTCCCTAATTACTAGTGATGTTGAACACCTTTAAAGATGCTTCTTAGCCATCTTTATTTCTTCTTTTGAGAACTCTCTGTTCAGCTCCTTAGCCCCCCTTTTAATTGGGTTACCTCCTTTCTTGATTTTTTTGTTTTTTGAGTTTGTTATATATTCTGGATGTTAAACCTCTCTCAGATGTGCCACTGGTGAAGATTTTCTCCCATTCTTTGGGTTTTCTCTAATGAAGCTGTATTTTTAAAAAAACTCATTTCTAGCTTGTGTTTGGTAATAGTTTATCACAAAAAATAAAATCTTATATATTTTATTAAGCTGAATTTCATCAAACAGAAAAAAAATAGTACTGGATTCTAGAGAGGGGCAATACACACCCAAACTTTATCATGACCCCATGACTTTGTTCTAAAATAGTAACTCCAATTTTTCTCACAACACCAAACCAGACTAAAAGAAATAGTTAATTTAAAAGCAAAATAATATAAACACAAATGAATTGCATCTACTACTTGGATTATTTTGAAAAAAGATTTTTGTTAAGAAAAAAATTAACAGAAACAGAGAGAATGATACAATCAACTCTACATTCTGACCTTAACTAAAATCAGCAAGTCACATTTGTTCAACTTACTTTTAATCCGTATTTTGAATCTACAACAGTTATGATACCTGCAAAAGAATACGCAGCTTAGTCACTTAAAATTTTATCAGTATTTTACATAATAATACATAAATAATTGATTAGCATTATACAACTATACTTGAGAAGGAAGAGTAAACATCTTTCAGTTCATAAATGCTATTCATAAAGTATTTTTTCCTTATCAATGTGGTAATTTAACTAATTTCAGGAATCATTGAATATATTTCAAATATATACTGAATGTCTAGCTCTTTCTAAACAGCAAATTTATGAAATAAATTTTAAGATCATGAAAATAAAATTTCTTTTATGTTTAAAGTTTAGTCCAAATTAAAATATATTTCCTAAGAATGAAATGTGGCAAATTATACAAAACAGGTTATATTTATTTTCACATAATAAAAATCAGATTTTCTAAAATATTTAAAATACCGTTTACAGATCTAAGACATCTTAGTATACCTTACTCCTAATCTCTGTTACTAAACCTAGCTCACAAAACTGTTTTATATAGCAAGCACTGCTGAGCATGGTGGCACACATCTTTGGTCTCAGCACCTGGGAGGCAGAGGCAGGTGGATCTCCATGAGTTCAAGGCCAGCCTGGTCTATATAGTGAGTTCTAGGCCAGCTGGAGCTACAGGGAGACTCTGTCTCAAAAAGACCAAAAAGGAAAAAGGTGAAATGGCTGATCAATTACTTTAGCAACTTTGAAATATATACCAAATAATTTTTGAAAGTATAACAGCATAATTTAATGGCGTCTATGGAATTCGATTAGCTGCATGTGATATATATTACTACCCAATGAAGTCCAACTCTGCTGTATATTCTATGGTTTAAGGAAATGTAAGAAAGGGGAAAGAGATGGTAAAAGGAACAGGGATACAGATGCCTCACTAAGGAAGCGACATAAAGCTTATAAATTTATACAAATTGAAAAAATGATTAAATAAAGAGTATGTATATGTGTGTGCATATTTAATTCTTCAAGGAAAAATGAGCGCAAAAATATGGTCCTTACATTGCCTTGACTAAAATATAAGCCTCAAACACACTAAGTGCATAACAACAGAGGTCATAGGAAATCTACATTACATTTTAAAAGGAAAGCCTGAGTGGAAGTTCTGAACTAGAGCTGAGAGTTTGGACTTGATACTCTAGTTCTATCACTGTCTAAGGCTTGAGTATCCCTGTGAACAAAAAATGAATTCATCATAATTACTAAGCAACATTGAAAATAATGATGTAAAGAATTAAAACTGCAATATAAACAAAACAAGCTTAAACATAAAAATAAATTTTACTTAAAAAAAATTATTAACTTACCATCAAGATAAATATCACTGCCTAATTCTGCATCAACCCAAAATATAGAAGCCACAGCACCTGAAAATACATAACATGACATATTCAAATAAAAATACCTCTTCAAATTGTAAAACATGACTTTAATCTGTCTTAATTTGCACCAATGGAATTCGTGATGAACACATCACAAATTAAACCTGTACTCCCAATTTTTCGTGGAAATTACAGAGATAGAAGTTTTTATTTATAACCATTTCTACTGCTCTCCCTATTTCTAAGAAAAAAGTTAACACTTACAAATCAAGCAGCATGCTTCTACCAATGCCAAAACAATTTGCCAATTGATATTGTGAAACAATATGGACACAATAGCTGAGTACATACAGGACTTATTTTTTCTCATTTCCTAAACATGATAATCATACAATTCACACAAAAAAATGAATCATTATTCCCAAGGGCAAACAAAGCATAAATTAATTCTAAAAATTAATTGCCCCAAATAAATTAACTTGTAATTTATAGAAGAAAAAGAGCAAGAAATAAAATGATAAATTCTCTGGTATAATTAATTAATCCTCAGATATTTATTTAGTATTGGACATAAAACTTGGATCTGAAGAAAAATTATTTATAAGAAAGAAACTGAAACTTATTTTTGACAGGAACTGGTTTAACACCAAACCACATGTCCTGATTAGTGTCCCACAACACAAGAAAAAGAAAACTGACAGCAAGGAAAGTATTTGATTTTTCAAAGCCTCACCATTCCAGTTAGTGATGGTGCTGTCTAAAAGAATGAACGTAGGAGAAAACAAGGATATCTGAACTCATTCCACTGTCTAAAGCCGTCTACCTACCCTGACAAGATGTGGTCCCCCAAGCATCACTGTGTGTCAACAGTGAAATACCTGTCAGCTGTTTACAGTGATTACTCATGCAAGATATAGCAAGGGCCACAAGATCTAATGGTTTCCTGATACCTATTGATTTTTTCCCAAAGATTTAATAGTTTTCCAATTTGACTGAAATAGGATTTGTGAGTAACAGGAGCAGAATCAATGTCTGTCCTTTTCAAGGAAATTACTTTACCATGACAATTATTTAGCTTAGAACTAGAGAATGTCAGTCTCCTAAGCAAGAACCAGCTGAATTTCCAATAAGAATTTTTTTTTCACTTTCTTGGCTAAAAACATGATTTTAATTAATAAAGGAGAAAAATAAAATTTACTGCGTCATGACACTAAACAATAAGTCAAAAGAGAGTGCTAACTTTTTCACTCAGCCAAATACCTAAAATTATACAATTTCATAACTTTAAAAAAATAACTGATTGCTATTCAAATAAATAGCTTTTAGGTCTTACCACTAACATTTGCTTATTACTAAACCAAATTTTAAATTGTATTAGAGCTTTTATTCTAAATGATGTTACACTTGATATTACCCTTACAGGCTACACACACACACACACACACACACACACACACACACACACACACACACCACACACACACACACACACACACACACACTCGCCTCTTTGCCCCTCCTTTACACTCTTTTGAAGCTCTCTTTTTAAAATAATATTTTTATTTCAAGCTCTCTTTTCAGTCTAATTACCTATATTTCCATTTTTTTGTGCCCTTGCATTTCTTCACCTTCTCTCCTACACACACACACACACTTTAAACAAAACAAAACAAAACAAAGCAAAATAGGAATAGTAAAGATGAAAGATGAAACAGGTGCTTCTTCTTCCCAGTGAATATCAGATACTGTCTGAAGATATTTGGGTTGCACTAGGGATATGCTCTTGGTTTCTAAGTAGGCAGAAGCCAGGAATGCTATTAAATACCGTAAAATGCCAAGATAGTTCCTCTTTCCAGCAGAAAATCATCCAACCCAAAATGTCATTTGTATCAAGGCTGAGAAACTCTAAACTACATTACAGACTATCCCATCTTCAAAATCTAATAAAATAAAAATTTTTTAATTTAAATGTCAAAATTTTAGCATCAGAACAATGATAAAAAAGATGACTCTCCTTCCATAAATTTAGAACGGTAATCAAAATACAAAACAAAGTTCTCTGTAAGTTACTGCCCTTGTTCCTAACTCAATTCCCACCCCTAGTAGAGACTATAAGAGAACCATTTATGAAATCCTACCATTTATCAGAAATATCTCCCCACATGGCAAAAAGTAGAACTTAGGGTAAAGCAATAAAGGGAAACATCAATAACAACAGTTTTAAGAGGAAACATTTTTGACCATTTCTATGAAGGAAGTCATTTAGTAGGACTGGGAGCAAATGAACAAGAGTTCTGAGGTTTAATGATGCCCCTCACCAGGAAGTATTGGCTGTGTACCCCTAGACAGGTGGTATAAACCCAAAGGGGGCATATTAAGTATTAGGGGAGCACATGGCCAAATAGCCACATTATCCCACCTGTCTGTCTGGGACACCCATTTCCTTTAGCTTCCTTCTCCACATGCCCAATAATCTCCAGCTTTAAAACTAGTCTCAAGATAACCATGTTTGGGTAAGAGGTAAAATATTAAAAAGAATTCCTCATTAACACATGTAAGTAAATGAAAGTTCTCTGATCTTTCTACATCAAGCACAAATACACATTCATGATTACAGCAGAGGAAAAACAGAGAAAGATAAATATCAGGAAGGAGGGGGGAAACCAAAGAAATTAATAAGGAAGACAAATGGCATTCTGTAAGGAAACATAATCCAAGAAATCAAAGAAATTTTTAAAGCTCTTCATAGCAAAAACAAACAGAAAAACAAAACAAAGCCATCAAACAAAAACCAAAAAATCCCTGAAAACAATATAACCTGAATAAAAAAGATAGAAAGCAGTAATATAAAAAGAGAGTTTGTAACACAAATGAAATAAATTTGGAGTCAATTTAATAGCATTGCTTAAGCAATAAATTCATTTACAACAGGAAGGAACAGAAAAGAAACTAGTAGGAACAGAACTGACATCAAAGAAAACTTAAGATGATTAGAATAAATGTAGATGCAAAGGATAAATCAGAACAATTAGGATAGGGCTAAGGGTATAACTTAGTAGTAGAGCACCTACCTGTCTATCATGTGGAAAGCCTGGGAGGGAGGGAGGGAGGGAGGGAGGGAGGGAGGGAGAGAGAGAGAGAGAGAGAGAGAGAGAGAGAAAGAAATGTGGTAAGATGGCTCAGTGGGTAACGGTATGTGCTGCCAAGAACGACACCCTAAGTTAGATTCCTGGGACCCACATGGTAGCAAAAGAGAACTGACTCCTTCAGGTTGTCCTCTGATCACCACACATGTGCCCTGGTACACATGCTAACACACACACACACACACACACACACACACACACTATATATATATATATATGTGTGTGTAATTTTTAAAATTAGTTAAGAAAACAAAATAAAATTTAATATGAGAAAAATTGGTCTCGAGTATATACCCAATAATTAAGATGAAAAAAATTATTCATGGTAATAAAAAGAAAAATGTCTTTAAGTGAAGTGCAGAGTAGAAAGGACAAAATTAGAAGCAAAATACCCACATTACAAACAGGCTATGACGACTTAAAGCCTGACCCCAGTGACTTTTGGTGTATTATGCAAACACCTGGAGCCTAAAAAAAAAAAGAGGTCAGAAGAGGGTGTCAGATCCCCTGGAACTGGAGCTATGGACAGTTGTTAGCTGCCATGTGGGTGCTGGGATTCGAACCTGAGTCCTCTGCAAGAACAATCAGTGTTCTTAACCGCTGAGCCATCTCTCCAGCCCCTGAAGCCTAATTCTTAATGATACATGGTGCCCTGCCCCAAATGGCCTATCTCAAGAAAGGCAACTTCTGCTGTCTAATTTACTACTAAGACAGTGATACTCCAGCCTATTTACCCAGATACAGACCCCATACAAACGGGTCATAAGACAGTAACTGCTCCCTTAACTGTTAATAAAGAGAAATCCTACCCCATCACCTGCGGCCTCTTTGCAGTGTATTTCAATAAATTCTATTTGTCTTTTTGTCCACTGGGTAAATTCTTTATACTGCATCTCAGGTCTTAAGAGATGCCATTTTTTAGGACACAAAAAAATGAAAGGTATGTTGTAGTTGAGGGGGAAAAAATTCTGATGAATGCCACTTAGACGTACTTTATATTGCCGAATTTCAAAGAAAAAAATGATGCATTTTGTATAAGAAAGTCACCTTGGGGAGATGCTGATGTCCACAGACCTAAACTAATATAATAAATGTGAATACAATGTCCTAATGGAAGCCCTCCCAAAGGATAATAACCACCAAGTTCTTTTTCGAAAAGAACAAACATTATCAAATATTGGAACTCGAGACTACAGCACTCACATTTTTCCCGATAAAATATAAGGAGAAAACACTAGGTAGTAAAATTTAGCCACTCAAAAACTACTAGAAGGGGCTGTGGAGACAGCTCAGTTGGAAAAATGCTTGCCTTACGGCATGAGGACTGAAATTCAATGCCCAGAACCTACATTTATTTTTAAATATATATATGAAAGAGCCAAGCATAAATTTGTAATCTCAGCCCTGGGGAGGCAGAAACAGACAGGCAGATCCCTCCTGGGCTCACTGGCCAGCCAGCCTAGCAGGGTTTCAGGCCAGGGAGAGGCCCAGTCTCAAAAAACAAGAACAAGAACAAAAACAAAAACAAAAAAACCCCCACAAAAAACGGTAGGTCTGTTAGGGTAGTTGTGCATAACCCCCCTTAATTCCAGCAGAGAGGCAGGTGGATCGCTGGTCTACATAGTGAGCTCCAGGTCAGCTGGGGATACATAGTGAAACACTGTCTCAAAAAATAAAAATAGTGGCTAGAGAGATGTCTCAACAGTTAAGAGCACTCTTGCAGATGACCTGGGCTGGATTCCCAGCACCCACTTGGCAGCTAGCAACCATCTGTAACTCCAGTTCCAGGGGAATCTGATACTCTCTTCTGACCACCATGGACAATGTACTCATACACTAAATAATAAATATTTTTTAAGTAAAAATAAAAAATAAATTAGATGGTGCCCAGTTCTCTTCCAGCCTCCATATGCATGTACATACATCCCACACACAAACATTCATGTATATATATGCATATGCGCATACACACACACAAATACTACTCCTAGACAGTAATATCTGCAAAGCCCTAAAAGAAAGACATTGACCCAGAAATAGTGTATCTGGTCAATAATCTAAGTATAAAAACAAAAGGCAGGGGCTGGAGAGATAGCTCAGCAGTTAAGAGCACTGGCTGCTCTTGCAGAGGAATCACATTCAATTCCCAGCACCTACATAGTGGCTAACAACCGTCCATAACTCCATTTCCAGGGGAATCCAACACCCTTTTCTGACCTCAGCAGGCATTGCATGACACAGGTGCACTTACACATATGCAGACATACACATAAAATAATAAAAAAAAATTTTTTAAAGACAAATATTTTCAAGTAACAAAGTTTGTAAGAATTTAGAGGCTGTAGCACCTACAACTTAATTAAAACATGTAGTTTATGTTCACTTAATGGTCTTTGTAATCTTGTTTTTCTCCTTAATTTATCTCTCTTGTGATATCAAGTACCTCTTTGATATTTAGCAAGTCCTTCATTTGCTCTTCAGTTTCTCTTTCTTCTGTTAGATTCAAATAAAATTGTTGGTTATTGTCAAAACACGACAAAGAATGGTATTCTACTGTCTAAAACAATTTTTGTCTATTTAAGACAGCTTCACAAGTGTATAGAAAAGGGCTTCCCAAATTACTGCCAGTGTAAGAATGAGCTGCAGTTCTTACTAAAAGCCTTGCTGGGGGTCTGGAGAGATGACCCAACAGTGAAGAGCACTGGCTGCTCTTGCAGAGGATGGTAGCTCAATTCCCAGCACCTACATGGCAGCTAATAACTGTTCATAACCTCAGTTCCAGAGGAATGCAGTGCCCTCTTCTGACCACCATGGGTACTGCATGACATGGGCACACATACACATAAAATAAAAATAATAAATACTTAAAAGGCTTTTCTGGGCCCTACCTACAGAGATAGTGATTGAAGAGGCCTGGGTTGGGGCTCAAAGCATTTCTAACAAGCTCCTAAATTACTGACGCTGCCATTTAACACACCATATCAAGCAGCACCATCATAAAGAGATCTCTAGAATAGAATTTACCCACTTGTATTTCATGGTAATGATACAGGATATCTGATTGGTTTTCTTGTTACATTTTTTTTAACTTTCTCCTTTGTATGATTTATGTATTTTTTATTTTTCTATATTGAATGTTCCACCTTTACTCAAATAATAAAACTTTGTTCTAAGGAAAGTTAAAAGAAACAACTCTTTTTTAAATTTTTTGGTCTTTTTGAGACAGGGTCTCCCTGTAGCCCAAGCTGGTCTGGAACTCACTACTTAGACCAAGCTGGCCACAAACTCACAGAGATCCACCTGCTTCTGCCTCCCAGGTGCCAGATAGGATGTGTACCACCACACCAATCCCAATGTTTTATACCTACAATTGTACAAAAGCTTACAGACCTTAATTTTTTTCTCTGAAACTTTTTTCAGTAAACTCACTCTGAAGGTAATACTAGATTATCTCTATTAAGTGACAAAATTAGCTATGATGAAAGAAACCATTATTTTAATAAAAAACATTCATTATATTTTCCTCTTACCAGATTCAAGTTAATTTATTATGCAATACCAACTTATTAAAGTACCATCACCAGTCAAACTCATCAGAAATGTGTGGAAACTTACGGAAAATCCTTGTCTATCATAAGATCAAAATAGCTCCAACCTAATACTACTTTGATGACACAGAGGAAATGTTATTACAAAACACTTTGAATTAAAAAAAAAAAAACCCACTGATTATATTCCAAATCTCTTCAATACTTCTTTTAGACCACTGTGAACTAAAGTTCTGGAAAGAGGCTGCACCTTGCACTGAGTATTCTACAAAAGCTGATGAACTGAGAACTTCAATTTCAGAGGTTGGAATGCTGCAAGTCCAGAACCTAGTTACAACTGACCTTGGGCTCTCATTAGCCTCTTTTAACAGCTATTCCCTGTCCACCTCTGTGTCTGACCTCACATACTTTTGACTATTGCATGAACCTTTCTGGGATGTTATTAACAGAATTCCTAGTTTCTACCAACTCAAAAGCTACCAATGTGGTCAGATAGCATCTAGGGCAGAGTTCCCGGTTTGCTGTAACCTGCCTACCTGGTGTACCCACTACTGTATTTTAAATTGCTTTACTTATATGACTTCTCTTTGTTCTGTATTTGTTTACAGTAATAAAAACTCCATGAAATTGTTACCACATTGGAATATGGAATTTGCAGTAACATGAATATGTGTTCCTGGGCTATTGTCACTCATATTTGGCTCCAGAATAAACTCTTTCTTATTCCCTTTGAAGTGAGAGCCGTGTCTTTTACATTACTACCACTAAGACCTTTTTAATAACTTAACCCTCCAAACCCTAATGCCACAAACCAGTTGAAAAAAAAAAAAGTATCAGTATGAGTAAAACTCACAAAAGTATTAAATGTTATACAAACTAGGAATAAAAATTTTTACTCTGAAAAAATTTATCTAAAAATTATTTGAGAAAATAAGGACTTATTTACAATTAGAGTTTGCTAAGAAGGGAACAGAAACTCAGGTACAGGTCAACTTTATGTAGCTTTCTATGGGGAAGTTTAGATGTAATTCTACTCAGAGGTTAAAAAAACTTTATAGGGGCCAACAAGATGGTTCAGTGGGTAAAGGCACCTGCCACCAAGTCTGACAACCGGAGTTTGATCCCCAGAACCTACATGGTGGAGAGAAAGAATTCACTCTCACAGACTGCCCTGACTCTATTCATGTGCCATGGCACATGTGTCCCTATGCAAATACACAAACACAAACTAAAATAAATATTCAGAATTTTTTATGATAATAATTAATTCTACACTTGGAAAAAGACTCAGTAAATTTGATAAAACTATGTACACCTGATACTTGGCAGCATTTATAAATAAAATCAATTTTAATAGAAAACCAAAACAGTAACAATGAATTTTTAGGAATATATACTGCTAGTATTAGAGTCCAAAAACCTTTATCTAGCTCTCAACTACCCTCTAAGAAGACTGTATTAGAAACTAACCAGGAGGCTGGGAGTACAACTCAGTGGTAGAACAAGTGCTTAGCAAGGAAGAGCCCTGGATTCATTCTCAGCAACAATTAAAAAGAAGGTGAAGAGATAAAGTCTTTAAATAATATAATCAATCAAATATACACTAAGAATGCTTCCATTTTTCCTTTATTTCCTTTTCTTAAAAAAATTAATTTGTGAGGTTGGAAAGAATGCCTAGCAATTAAGAGCACTTACTGCTCTTCCAGAGTTCAGTTCTCTGCACCCATGTCAAGTGGCTCACAGCCACCTGTCACTCCAGTTCCAAGGCATCCAGTAGTCACCTTCTTCTGGCCTCAGAGGTATGTGCATATACACGGCATACACTCACACATGCATACACATACACATCAACAAAAATAAATCTTTATAAAAATAAAATAATTTGTTCCTACCAATAACTCTAAAATTTCTAATTCTATTAATAAAGTCTCAATAAGCATACAAATTTTTCTATGGTACAAGCCAGAATTTTTCTTTTGAACAACAACAACAATAAAATTAAATCTGCAGTAAAGTTTTATGGCTGGACAGATGATTCAACATGTAAAGCACCTGTCATGCAAGTGTGAGGATCAGAGTTCAGCTCCCCAAACCCCACATGAAAGCTGTGTGGGCACAGCTGCCCACCTGCAAGCCTATCATGCAGGAGTTAAATATGGGGAATCCTAGAGAGAACTCGCTGGAGCTGCGGGCTAGCAGATCAGCTGAAATGGCAAGCTCAGGTCTGGCTTCAGTGAGAGACCCTGTTCAATATACGGAGAAGAATGAATGAGGAAGACACCTCATGTCAATCTCAGGCCTCTACATGCACACACAAATATCTGCACATGCTCCCCCCCCAAAAGAGTCCATATACATGTACATGGATACACACACAAACAAATAAATAAATAAGGGACTAGGGATGACTCAGAGGTTAAGAGAACAAACTGTTCTTGCAGAGGACCCAGGTTCAATTCCCAGCACCCACATGGCAACTAACAACTGTCCGTAACTCCAGTTCCAGGGGATGCAACGCCTCTTCTGGCCTCTGCAAGCACTACACAACACAGGTACACTTACACATACAGGCATTACACTCGTAAACAAAAAATAATAAAAGTAAATAAAATAAAGCTTTAAAATTCATTCTAAATATTTCTCTAACATATAAAAGAATTATATGCTGCTTATAAATGCAGATTCTTACCAGGATCTGCTAATCCAGTGGTCTCTAAAAGTATGTAATCAAATTTCCCTTTCTTCTGCATCAAATTCTCAATAGCTCTAAGGCCATTATCCCTGGAGGACCAAAACATACCATTAATTGATTATCTGAACATTTTAAAATGATCTTTATAAATACCTTAAAATACAGTCAATAACACAAAAACATTCTTAGGCACATGCGAATTTAACTTCTTCCTAGGCTTCTAAAAAATGTTCAATATTTACCCATGGCAAGAGGAAAACAGGTGCAAATACAGACAGGTAAAAAGAAACGACATGTGTAATAAGCTAATACTTTACTAAAATTAAAAGCAAAGGGAACTTTACCTGACAAAAGTCAGTATATATTTTTTTCAGTTTTTCTTAAAATATTTTTTATTTATTATTTTTATTTTATGTGTATGCATGTATAACCTGCATGTAAGTAAGTGCACCCATGTCATGCAATGCCAGTGGAGGACAGAAGAGGCTGTTGGATCCCCTGGGACTGGAGTTACGGACAGTTGTTAGCTGCCATGTGGGTGCTGGGATTTGAACCCGGGTCTTCTGCAAGAACAACCAGTGTTCTTAACCACTGAGTCATCTCTCCAGCCCCTATTTTTTTTTCAGTTTTGTAAAAGAATATCAGTATTTAAAATAACAATGAACTTTACTACCTACAGTAGTTTAATATAACAGCTACAGTGGCACTGTCATTACGTACCATTTAACTCTATTCTGAATTAAGGTACAAAGCATAATTTCCTTTTATTTATTTTGTGTATGAGTGCTTTTCCCATATATACGTAAGTGCACCATGTCACCAACGACGTACATGCACTGCCCATAGAAGCCAGAAGAGGGCACTGGATACACATGGAATTGGAGTTACAGACCTTTGTTAGCCACCATGTAGGTGCTGGGAACCAAACCAGGGTCCTCTGTAACAGCAGCCAGCCAACACTCTTAACTGCTGAGCCATCCCTCACTATGGTGCTCAAGTTGGCCTGGAACTGTCAATCTTGCCTCCACCTCCCAAATGCTGGGATTACAGGTATTTATCACCATGTGCAACTGTTTTTTATTCTTATAATACCAAAAGTTAAGGAAAATATTGAATGTATTGCATTTTGGTTTAAAAAGTCTATTATGACTTCATCCAAATAAATTTGACTCAGTGTCAAATATCTAAGACAGTAAATAATGGAGAAATATAATTCACTATAATATAGAAAAATCAATAGTACATGCATTAATTCCCATAATTTATCCAAGAAATATTTAAAATGCTACTATATATCAGATGCTCTTCCAGGACTATGGCAACTTAGTAAACTAAAAAGACACTGCCCATGGAGACTTAATCACTGACATAAGGCTCTGTCTCTCTCTTGCTCTGTGTGTGTGTGTGTGTGTGTGTGTGTGTGTGTGTGTGCTAACACGTGTGTATGCCCATGCACATGTATGCTAGTGCTAAGGATTGAACACAGGGCTTCACCTATGCTAGACAAGCACTCTAACACTAAGCAACATCCCCAGCTCTCTTTTCACTTTTTATTTTGAAAGTCTCATTAAGTTGCCCAGGTTGGCCTTGACTCAATTTGTAGCCTAAATAAGCACTGAATTTGGGATCTTCCTGCCTCAGACTCCCAAGTAGCTAGAATTACAAATCTATGTCACAAGGTCACTTAGGTCTTCAAGCTTGTGTGGCAGGCACTTTACCAACTGAGACATCCCCCAGTCCATGGTTGTTTTCTTTTATGACAATAATTTCTTTTTTATTTTAAAAAGGCTGAATGCTTAGAAATAAGACTAATGCAATGACATATTAAACTCAGAATAATCATTTTTACACATAAAACATTGAAAACAATTTTTTTAAATTCAATGAAAGAGAAAAAGCATTAGGACAGACAGAAAATAGAGCAACACTTTAAGAAAACACATTCTAATCAAAGTATTTCCTATTTGAAAATAGAACAGCACAAGCTATGTAAATTCAGTTAAATTACACGAGAAAATCAAAGCTGGATTTATAATCACTAGACAATTTTAGTAAGCCAGCAAGCATATAGCAAAACTAGTCCTTACTTCACTGAACAGCAGAGGCAACCATTTCCAAGTTCTAGCCACTCTTCATAGAGCTCTCCATCTTGACTAACAGCTAAGGATTTCTCTACTGCACTCCCTAGAAAAATTAACAGGCAGTCTTTAGAGTCTGTTCCATAGCCAAGCCAAAAACAAGAAGGATGCTCAGAAATAGAGCAGATTTCAAAGCAGAAACTACATTTTATAATTTTTTATTCTTTCATCCTAATCACGTACCCTCAATATTTAAATTACAGTACATCTTTAGTATTTCTTTATGTAAGATTTAAGTAGAGCCAGGCAGGTACATACTTGTAATCCCAACACTGCCTGAGGCAGAAGGATCTGGAGTTTAAGATACACATGGGCTTGGCACTGGAGAGATGGTTCAGTGGTTAAGAGCACTGGCTACTCTTGCAGAGGACCCAGAGTCAGTTCCCAGCACCCACATAGAGGCCAACAACTGTCTACGACTCCAGTTCCAGGGGATCCAATCCCTCTTTTGGCTTCCACGGGCATTGTACACACATGCTGCACTTAAATACATGCAAACATGTATACACATAAAATTTAAAAAGAAAAAAAGATACACATGGGCTACAAAGCAAGTTCCAGATCAGTGTGAGCTATCTCAAAAAAATTAGATAAACAAGCCAGGGATGGTGGTGTACGCCTGTAATCCCAGCACTTGGGAGGCAGAGATGGGTAGATCTCTGGTTCAAGGCCAGCCTGGTCTACACAGTCAGTGTCAGGACAGCAGACCCCATCTGAAAAAGACCAAAAAAAAAAAAAAATGAACAGAGGTTAAAGAGATGGCTCAATGGTTAAGAGTATTTGCTGCTCAGTTCCTAGCACCCACATTGGGTGGTTCACAATTGCCTGTAACTAGGGAATCCAACTCTCTTCTGGTCTCTGTAGGCACAGGCATGCACACGTGCATGAGCACACATGTGCACACACACTCTTCTGGTCTCTGTAGGCAGAGGCATGGGCACTGGTGTGAGCACACTCACACACATACGTGCACGCGCATGCGCGCACACACACACACACACACACACACACACACACACAAAATCTTTAAAAACTAAATAAACCAATCATAGTGGTACATGCCTTTAATCCCAGGCTGGCCTCCATCTCACAGCAATCTGCCTGCCTCTGCCTATCAAGTGCTGAGATTAAAGGCGTGCACCATCACACCCGGTTCCATTTTGACAAAGGTTTCTGGCCCAAGTATCATGTGCTCATTAAAAAATTAAACTTTTAGTCAAATACACAAATTTCCTAGTAATGTTTACATGGGTAATAAATACATAAGATGCTTATCTTTTTTTAAAGAATATTTTATTTATTATTTTTATTTTATGTGTATGAGTGTTATGCCTACATGTATGTAAGTGTACCCGCGTCATGCAATGCCCAGAGGTCAGAAGAAGTCAGATCCCCTGGAACTGGAGTTACATGTGGGTATTGGGAACCAAACCCAGGCCCTCTGCAAGAATGGCCAGTGCTCTTAACCACTGAGTCATCTCTCCAGCCCCTACAAGATGCTTATAGAGTTCAGATGCTTTATGTTCACTGTACCAAAGCAAGAAGAAGGAAAAGAAAAAGGTGCTATGGATACAGTTTCTATTCATATTTTAGTTAGGTGATGAGAACATTGCAGAATCCAGGCTATCTAAAACATTGATAAAACATGAAAGTACTGAGAATTTTTGAAAGAAACAAGGTTAAAGTCACCCTCTCAAAAATGAAGGAAAATGGTAAGAAATAGTAATTAAATGTAACCAGTATACAACAGAAAACCAGTTAATAAAAAGCTAGTAAAAGACTATCAGAAATCTTACAGTTTTTAATGACTAGATGTATAATTCAGAGAGTACTTTCTTAGCATATAGGAAGCGTTACACCAAAACTAATTAAAGAAATAAGCTTTATAGTTATTTTGTTTACTTCTGTCTGGTGTGTGTGTGTGTGTGTGTGTGTGTGTGTGTGTGTGTGTTTGAGTATGTGAGCTACCAGAGGTTCTCTTGTCTCCCCCTCTCATCTCAGCACAGCTGGGATTACTGGGATTACAGACCCTGCTACGGCATCCAGCCTTGGCTATCAGGCTGAAGCCACTAGTGTTTTTACCCACTGGGCCATCTCTCCAGCTGGATTTTAATTTTGTTTAAAAGAACTTTCTTCTTTTATATACTGAAACTGGAAATCACGTTTCACTAATAGGTATCTCATGCTGCTCATAAAGCTTTGCTGTTTTACATACTTATATCTGAAAAGATAAAAATAATTTAAGCAATACTCTAACAATTACTTTTTTTGGCTAAAAGTAAGATTTTATTAAGTTCACATGCATGAAGAAAAGCAAACTTTTTATAATTTTATAAATTATCTAAGTATTGTGTCTAACTCTGCAGTGCAGATCTTTTTATCAGATTAATTTTAAAGGAGAAAAATGAAAATTTAAACACACGCACTCTTACAGATAATTTGAATGCTTAAGGATGAAGACCATATGCTTATTTTTAAAATCTTTACCTTAACTGCTTTAGGGATAGATTTTTACAAGCTGAACTTACTATATCTGAAGGATTTTCAAATATTTTTCATAAATTGCAATATACAATTAAAAAAAGAAAAAAAGCTGGGCATAGTGGTGCAAGCCTTCAATCCCAGCACTCAGGAAGCAGAGGCAGGTGGATCTCTGTGAGATTGAGGCCAATCTGGTCTACATATCAAGTTCCAGACCAGCTGGGGGTACAGGGAGACCCACCAACTTTCATGTATCAAGATTTTTACTTGTAAAATCATTTATTTCATGTAAAAAAAAAACTAATTTAATTCTATTAGTGTCCTGGTTACTTTCAGTTATCAACTTGGCACACAAGGGAACAGGGAATTTTAACTGAGGAACAGCCTCCGTAAGACTGGCCCATGTGCCGTCTACAAGGCATTTTCTTAATTGCTGATTAATGTAGGAAGGCTCAGCCCACTGTGGGCGATGCCATCCCTGGGCAGGTGGGCCTGGGCTGAATAAGAGAAGTAGCTGAGCAAGGCAGTAAGCAGCATTCCTCCATGGTCTCTATTTCAGCTCCTGCCTCTAGAGTCCTGCCTTGACTTCCTGCCCTGGCTTCCCTTCATAATGAACTGTAAGCTGTAAGGTAAAATAAACCCTTTCCTTCCCAAGTTGTTTTTGATCAGAGTGTTTTATCACAGCAATAGAAAGTTAATTAGAACAGTTAGTATCCAAAGTCATGCAAAATAAAAATTTTATAGAAGCTATCTGAGTCTATTAGTCCAAACCCATACAAAATGGTCTTGTAAAAATTAATCTGACTTTTTTGAAATTATCCATAGTGGCCTCATATTATAACACTGTCCATTCTTATTTTTAAATAGTTATCCATTCATCAGTGAAATAAACAGTCCTATATATTCTTGCAACATTAAAGAACTTTACTTACCTTCTCCAAATTCATTTAAAATGACTGCTATTCTTTTACTATGTTGCTCTGTCAAAATGTAGTTCAGAAGTGTTGTCTTTCCAGCACCTATAAAATATATTAAAGCAACAAAATTCAAACACAAATTTTCAAGGCACAAAAATGGATGTAAAAAGTCTTAATGGTTCTAAGAATTTAAGGTGCCATTTTTCAATATTCAACAATAGCATAGAAGACTTTATGTAAAAGATCAGAGTGGAGCTGGAGAGATGGCTCAGTGGTTAAAAGCACTGGCTGCTCTGGCAGAGGACAGGGTTCAGTTCCCAGCACCCACATGGTGGCTAACAACCATATAGAACTCCAATTCCAGGGATCCAGTGCCCTCTTCTGGCCTCCATGGGCATTGCACACACATGGGACACTTACATACATGCAGGTCAACCTTCATGCATTAGGAAAAAAAAAAGATTAGAATGATCTTTGAAAGCTATTACATTAAGCTTTATGTATATTTTATAAATATTTACAAATAATTTTACAAGTTGAATCAGTTTTCCAATTTAACATGACTAAAATAGTATCTTCTTCATAACTTGTCAAACAGTAATATAAGGGCATCTAAAACTTATATTTAATAAGAAATTAATCACTTCTAAGAAATAAGGCATGTCATTTATAAAATATAAAATATGTAAGTCCTTTTCATGATGACTTTTCTCAACCAAGAGTACTTGGTTACTTCCCTAAAGTTAGCATATACAAACCTGTCTTTTATTTCAATATCCATTAACAAGACACAAACTCAGATTAATTATATGGCTATTTTAGTGTGCTTAAGCAATCTATAAGTATAAAATTGATTTTATGAAATGGAGTACAGAGGTAGGAAGTGTTAACAGTATCAGTAGATATTCATAAAGCTATACTAACTTTATCCACTAGGTGGCATAACTAACCTAGTTTGCTTATCTTAAGAAAAACATTTTTCTGTGAACAAACCATTATGAAGTTCAGAACAGAATTAAAAAAAAAAAAACACCTTAACTACCAATGTAGTTCAATTATTGGTTAGTAGAATTTTTTGGTTAGTAGAATTTTTAGGTTGTTTCTAATGTTTTCCTGCAAGCAGTACTGTTAAAGTTTTACACATAGTTTGCACATTTGTACTAAAATACATTCAAAAGTTTTCTAGGGTATAACTAAGAGTTAGGGAATATAAAAGTACTAATACCTTCAACAGCTAAGTCATATTCTTTTTAAAAAGTGTTTAAAGAGATGACCCTTTATTTGCAGAGCACTTTGGGAAGCTCAACATTACAAGAGGTGATGTGAAGGAAAGCAGACTTTAAGGACACACAACAATGAGGAAATTCTTAAACTAGAGACCTGAACATGAATATGCACAAGCCAGTAGTAGTCAAAATTGGAAGGAAACTATGAATGTAAGAGATTTCTCCAAAAGAATTACTAAGGCTTAATAATTAACCACATTATGGAGGGGAAAAAAATCAAGATGAAATTCAGATTCATTCAAAAGTATCTACTATGCACCAGATTTAAGGCTCTGCCTCCATGAGCCTAAAAATGTTAAGGGAAGATAGCAGAGAATTTAGATAAATTAGGAGACAAGTTTGTCACAGGTTGATACATTGAACAAGAGATATACAAGAAGCTATGGAGAAGGTAAGAGAGATATCTAGTCAGGAATACCAGCAGGAAGGTAAGAAATAAAATAAGTTCAGTGTGTTGGGCTAGGGAGGCTAGCAAGAACCAGATCATAAAAGTCCTTGTAATTCATGCTAAGGAATTTGAAATTCATCCATGTAGATGCCACTAAAGGGTGTGACACAAACAATAAAGATCAGTAGGGCTAGCATAAGAATGTATTAAGGAGCTGACTGAAGACTATAGTAGTTAGGAGAAAATAGTGTTAAGAGTAGTCCAGGTCCTGGCTGGAGAGGTGGCTCAGTAAATTGAGAGTACTGGCTGCTCTTGCAGAGAACCCAGGATGGGTTCCCAGTACCCACATGCATGGCTAGCAACCATCCTTAACTCCAGTTTCAGAGGATCTGACACCCTCTTCTGACCTCTGCAGGCACTGCGCAACAGGGATGCATTTACATATATGTAGGCAACACACTCATACACATAATTTTTTTTTTAAGAGTATTCCAGGTGGCTGGGAATCACAGGAGCAGAATCGGAGGCAATATTAATGTATGCAGTGTTGGACATGTTAAGTTCAGAGATGTCTGCAGGATATCAAAACAGGAACTATACAGATGTGAAGCTTAAGAATGGATGAAAGCCAGATTAGTAGGTTAAAAACTCCGAAGACGGGCTGGAGAGGTGGCTCAACGGTTTAAGAACATTGACTGTTCTTGCAGAAGACCCGAGTTTGAATCCCAGCACCCACATGGCAGCTAACAACTGTCTGTAACTTCAGTTCCAGGGGATCCAACAGTCTCTTCTGTCCACGAGGGCATTGCATGACACGGGTGCACACAGATGCAGGCAATACATGCATACACATAAAATAAAAATAATAAAAAAAAAACTCCTAAGAAAAACCTAATAGAAGCTACTGGAAAAGTGTTTCAGGAGAAGATGGTAAAGAACTGTCCCCGAGGTTCAGTACCAAGGAAACTGCTAGCATTACCCCTCACTCCAGAGCTTCAGAGCATTATCTTCAGTGCTTTACTTGGATCTACCAGGGCGCTAAATGCAGAAAGCCAAAGGGACAAGTCTGAAATAAGACATTTGGAAAGGACTCTGCACCACGTTCACAAAACTGTGGTTTCAAGTATCCCAACATCCTCAGCTTGAGAAACAGTCTTGAGGACAAAGACCTTATTCTTACTTGGTCTTTGACAGTACTGCGCAAAAGGCCCTCAAAAAAGGTGGGAAACGTTAGAGACAGGAATAAATACTTCGTACTAAAGGCTGGAAGTGTATCTATTTAAGAATGTCCCACATGCCTGGGGCACTTTACAAACGGCATTCTTTAATGACAACAGACATTTTCCTTCAGATGAGAAAACAAACTCAGGTGCCTGCATTATTTCCAGGCTCAGATGAGGAGGATGAATTTCTAAAAAGTGAGACAAATTGTCAGCGGCCATGCGGATAAGACGGGATGAGTTCGGGCTCCAACGCCTTCTTTCTTTCCAAAAGCGAAGCTTTCAATCTCCCTCAAGAAAAGGAGGCAACCCATAAGAAGGGTAAGCCACCCCGGCCCCTGCCTCAAAGACCTTCGTCGCGGGAGGAGACCCCGGTACCCCAGAAAGGGACCGCAGCTCCAGACATCCCACAGTTCACGGCATTTTCCGCGCGACGTTTAATTACCTAAATACCCTGTGATAATTGTGACTGGAATCCTGACGCCGGGATCAAGCTTTTCTTCCTCTCCTTGCTTGGTCTCAATGGGAACCAATTCAGGACAGTCCTCCGCGTATTCCTCTTCCTCCTCCACAGTAACCGCAGCCTCCAACATACCCGCCCGCAGCACGCGTCCCCGCTCCAAGAAAAGCCACGACCAGTTTACCCTAGTTTTCCCACAGAGACCCAGTCTACCCGGCACGGCGCAGATGACGTCATCACACCGCGACACGTAGCTCCTCCCGATCCTAGCCCGTTACCTGGGCTCTGGACCAGCCCCCCCCAGCCACGCCCCGACGGGCCTGGACACGCCCCTACTAAATGGACACGCCCCACAGGGATAAACACGCCCCACCCGGATGGGCAACGCCCCTCCTTCGAGCTAGGCAAGCCCCCACAGGTCTGACCACGCCCCCTCTAGGATAGACACGCCCCTCAGGGACAGGCTCGCCGCTTCTTGGGGCTGGACACGCCCCCACTCGGCTGGGCACGCCCCGTTGGGTTGCTGAACCTGGACGCCAGAAGCTCCCTTGCTTTAAAGCTGTTGAGGCGCCTGCAGTCTTAGCTACTTAGTCTGGTGCTAGGGCTGAGGTCAGATGAATTAGGACTTGGAAAGAGTGACTTGATCAAAACAGTTCCCAGAGGATAGACGTTTTCACGTTGACATTTTTTTCTTAGTCTCATTTTCTTTCTTTTAATTCACAAGGAGAGGAATGTAAGACACTAACGCTGTTAATTGTAATTTTTCTACCTTTAAGGATAACTTGTGAAACTTCTTTTAAGACTTTAACTCTGGAAATTCTGTCGAAGCAGATGTGAATGTTTCTGCAGAGCATCCACAAAGGCTCCTACGTGTTCTGGGTCCATATCAGGGTAAAGCCCATGGCCTAGGGTGGCAATGTAGCGTTGTGGCCCAAAGTCATCCAGCATCTGCTGCACCAACCAATCAATCTCCTCCTCAGATGCACACAAGGCACAGGGATCCAGGTTGCTTTGCAAGGTCACCGTCTTCCCACACGCTCCCGGGCTTTCTTTGGAGCCACTGTCCAATCAAGCCTAACCACCTAACCACCTGGGCCAGCTCTTCTAGGACAAAATGTCCATCCTTAGCAAAAATGATCATAGGCACGGTGCCAGGCCTGTCTTCTGCAGCCCAGCCTTCACTTGCTTGGCCACATCATGGGCCAAGGGCAGTGCAAACTTGCTGAAGAGCTCTGAGCCAAGATGCCCAGCATGGGACTCAAAGAGCTGCAACGCCTGGGCACCAGCAGCCATTTGTCCTACTAGATAGGGGCCAGAGCATCAGTGAGGATGCGAAACAGCTTGTGACTAGGCTGATGGTAGAGCCATCGTTTGACCTGAGCCATGGCGCTTGAGCTGCCATCCTCAACCATATATGTCATCAGGGTCCACAGAGCACCAGCAAAGCCCATCAGTGGCATACGCCCAGCCAGTTGTTGTCAGGTAAGGGTGCTGGGCTGGAACACATAGCCCAACTCTGAGACCACTACTTCTGGATCCCTAGAGTGTAGACACTCTAGGTCCCGCTCTTCTCTTAATGGCTTTGGGAAGCTGGGTCCTTTGCCAAGTACCATAGTCACCTCCATGCCCAGTGCCTGGGGTACATACAGCAAGGATGTCAGAGAAGATGATGGCAGCATCCAGAGGGAAGCCTCGCAGTAACTGCAGTCGGTTCACGGCAAGCCTCAGGGGACCGACAAGTGCTGAAAAAGTCCTGGGCAGCCCAGGTTTCCCTAAGCTCTGGTAAGTAGCGGCCTGCCTGTCGCATGCACCAAACAGGAGTGTAGTCTATTTCCTCTCCCCAAGCTGCTGGGAGGAACACGTCATTATTCAGCTCCAGAAAACTCTGGAGTACCAGCCCCTTTGCCTCCATGGTAAACAGTAACTCTGGGCAGTCACTGCTTTCATCTGAATCGGAGCCTGCCCCTAAACTAGTGAAACTTTTACGTGTATCTGATTCTTTACAATGTACATGAGTTACTTTTATTTGCTTTTCTTTCTCATTATTTACTTAGACATCAGATAAGCCCAGTTCATTAATCATATTTGTTGGTTCACGATAATCCGTAACAGCCCTCCTTTATATTTGTTTATAGTGGACTCCTTGACATCATCCCTAACCCAAGAACATTAAATTACACCTACATATGTGCCCCTCCTCTGTTACAACCCAGAATGCAAGCTACAATCACAAAATTGTTTGGGATTGCTGAGCATACTTTTGTTTGATTTGATTGTATATACATACACTCAGACGATGTTTGATTTTGCTTGTTTTTCAAATTCATAAAGAGTGTCATACAATATCTAACCTCTTGGGGTTTACTGCATTTCCACTCCCCACTACTAAATTTCCTGTCAATTGTTTTGAGGTGTTGCTTTTCTTTTCTTCCTCTTCTTCTTCTTCTTCTTTTTTTTTTTTTTTTGAGACATTCAAACATTTCCCCCAACAATGTATGAAATCTCATTGTTCTAAATGAGTATTAGCCAACATTAATATTTTACCAATTAAGGACAAAACAATACCTCATTGTGGTCTTTGTCGCACTTCCTTGGTTACTAAAAAGACTGAGCACTTCTCATGTATTTTCACAGTGCTTAATTTCTGGCCTTGCAAGAACAGTTCCATCAATGTGGTTAACAAGCCATTGCTATATCAGAATGGGGCCTCACTCACAACAAAAGGAGTTAAATACATTAGGAGTTGAGTATGCTCCAAATGTCCATCAAATGATTGACAAACAAAATGTGATAAAATCCAGACAGGGAAAATTATTCGGCAATAATCAGATACAAAGCAATAATGACTGACCACAAAGTGAACAAACCTCAAAAAAACATACTCAAAAATAAAGCCATTCACAAAGACAACATGTTGTGTAAGTCCATTCAAGTCTAGAGAGACAGAAAATAGGCCAGGGGTTGGTAGGGACTGAGGGTTCAAGAGTTACTGCTAATGAGCACCATGTATTTTGGGGGCTAATAAAAATGTTCCAAACTTGATTATTGCTGTGGTAGAATAACTCTGAGTGCACTGAAAACCATTGCATTGTGCACTTTAAATTGATCAGTTTTATCTTACATGAGTTTTATCTCAATACAACTGTTTTTCAAGTTAAAGGCTCATCTGTATGTTCAAATGCTGGGACACTACTCTTCTTTGCAGAGAAGTGCTGACTTTAGCACTTTAAAATTGTGACTGCAGGCAAAATTGTTCCTTTAGTCGGCAAAATAATTATCCATTGAGTCTGTGGAGTTGTCATTTTCTTTTCTCACCCTAATAACTGAGCAGAATTTAACAAGTAAAAATATCTGAAGAACAAGGTTTTGCTGAATTCAAACATGTGACTTACACCAGTTCTCTCTAGAGAGTTAAATCTGACTTTAGTACTTCTATCATAACATAAGATTTACCTATATTTTCCTGTTCTCAGTGAAACTGTCATTGTTTAATTCAAAATGACTTTAAAATAAGTTTTAAAATTCCTCCATATAATATGGTAGAATATATTATAGTTTCTAGTGTATCTTGAAATTTCCTCTGCATTTAGCGTTGTTATTTTGCTTAATATAAATAAATTTATGGTAAAACAACAATAATAGCAAAAATTATAGTGTGTTGAATCCTTACTCTCCAGTAGGTATTGTATTAAGCATATTAAATGCATGATCCCATTTAACTCTGAGGTAAAAGCTATTTGTATGGCCACTTTATAGATGAAGAACTTCACTTAGAAAATTAAGTTTTTTGCTCATATTAACAGTAAATTATAACTCTGTGGCTCACTCCAGATCTGTGTATTTCCAATCCTGTGATCTTCAAGCTTTTATGTCTTTACTTTTTATTTTGACAAGGTATCCCTATATACTCCCTGGCTGGCCTGGAGTTCTTAGTGATCCACCTGCCTCTACTTTCCAAGTGCTGGGATTAAAGGCATGTACTACCATGCCTGTCTGGTTTTTTGTTTGTTTTTTGTTTTTTGGTTTTTTTTTGTCTTTTTGAAGCAGGGTCTCCCTGTAGCCCCAGCTGTCCTGGAACTCACTATGTAGACCAGGCTGGCCTTGAACTCACAGAGATCTGCCTGCCTCTGCCTCCCAAAAAGCAAATCTGAAGACACTGTATAGATACTTATATAATAAAGGAGAAAACAGATTTCTATAAACTTTGAAGTTTAAATTTTATATTTATACATGTCGTAAAATTAATTCTTACTCTTTTCTGTTTATTAAAAATGTAAAAGTCAGCCAGGCGTGGTGGCACATACCTTTAATCCCAGCACTTGGGAGGCAGAGGCAGGCGGATCTCTGTGAGTTCAAGGCCAGCATGGTCTACATAGTGAGTTCCAGGACAGCTGGGGCTACAGGAGACCCTGTCTCAAAAAGACCAAAAAAAAAAAAAAAATGTAAACGTCATTCACAGCTTGCAGTCTGCAAAAATGAGAGAGACAGACTATAGTTTACCAATTCCTGATAGTAATATGGTATTTCCCTACACTAAACTAAAGTTTTGCAAAAAGAAATCCTCCTAAGTGTGTTCAACTCAGTTTGTAAATCCTTCATCATTTCAGTAAACTTGCTCTTAAGTTTTGTATGCACCACAGTTACCATTCAGAGAAGGGCCCGAAGCTTGGAAGTATATATTATTTTTCCCAAGGCACAGATTCTCTGTTTGGGAGAGACCTAAAATGGGAAATATGTGATCTCTACATAATAGGATCCCTGCCATTGAGGAGCAGAACAGAAAAGCTCTCAAGGTCTAGATTCTAGGAGGTCAGCTTCATGATAATCACCCAATTTTCCCAATGTCCTTGGCTGCTTCATTTTCCTCCCTTGAATAGTTACATTAGCCGCCATGAGAAAAAGTAAGCACTGTAGTCATATCGAAATCAGAGGAAAGCTAAAAATAATGTCAACTTGCTTTCCTTTTCTCTCTCTCTTATTTTTGCAACTTCCTGCAAAGGCAACAACATACTAGTGGCCAGCAATAGCTACTGGTTTAGAGAAAAGGAAACTGGGGGTTTCACAATTAGTCCACTTCCTCTTACTTAGCAAATAAATAAATAAATACTTTATAAACACTTAATGTTTATCAGTTCACTTGATTTCTTTTTTATGAAGTGCACATGAACTTGTTGGAAAGACCTTGGGCTAATTAATGGCTGTTATTCTTGTGACTGCTTTAGTTAAGGTTGA